GACTGATAAGCCACAGCCATTTCCAGTATAATGGATAGGGGTGCCAAAAAATCAACGGAATTGCAGTGGGCAATCGATTATCGCCAACCGCTGTTTAAATTTTTACGGAACATCAACCAGCAACATTCAGCCAGTGCTCCACAAACCATTTGTGGGTGATATCTTTGCCAGTTGCAAAAGCGGTACAGAATCCTGTTTTTAGACCACTTGCCTAGTCTCTTTCCAGACGATATCTTTCATTATCAAAACTTAATAAAGGGGGCATTTTAGCTTTTGGATGCTTTGACTACACGGATGGAAACTCGCTATGAAGCTGAGATTTCCTACTAAGCGACGCAGTTGAACAGCCTTTTATGATTTCTTCAAATCATCAGCATGGAATAATGAAAAGAATGGCTAAAAGGCTTGGCAGCAGATGTCCAAGACTATGTTCTGATGAACATGGCATTCGTAAACAATTGAATTACACCAGAAAAGCATTGACAAACATGGCAATTCGAAAAGCCACTAATTAAGGGAAGTCATTAATCAGCAAATAAAGCAGGTCTACACGTGGCAGAATGCTGAAAGCGATGAATTTGCTGAAGGTGGTAGGTCCGCCTTACGCGAACCTGAGCGAAGGTATGCGCAGATCGCTTTATCTCTCTGCGCAAACGCAGTGTCTGGTCAGTGGCTAGAACTCACCAGTCAGACTCAACCAAGGAATGTCAAAACAAAGATGCCGCAGAACAAACAGTACTGATGGGTCTACTACATAGCCCGCAAATGTGGTAAATTTTACCTGGAGAAAGTGAGTAATCTCAACGAAGAAAGAAGAAAGGCAAGCGCAACCTCAGAGATGGAGCAAGGCAGAGTTAAGAGAAAAAGCAGTGTGCAACAAGGATAAAGTAGGTGGCGGACAAGGGATCCCACAATCAGCAAAGCAGAAAGTAGAAACAACATGGCTGTTGTTCAACTCAATGTCATCGAAATTAAAAATATGAACTGACAGTACATCGGCGCAATCTATGGCGAAAAGAACTTTAAGTCTAGAATGATCAAAGAAGCTTTCCGCTCAGAATAAGAGATGTATTTGGGGATAATGGCAAGGATCGGGGCAACATTTGGACATTAGCTGTTAATAAAGTGACGTCAACAATAATCCTAGCTCGACTTATTGCCGCCCAAACTTTTTTACTTAAAGGAGATGAGCTACCGATCTGTTCGTATCACTGTACCTTAACAGAGAGTCGAGTATGGCTTAAAACGCCAGTGATTTGTGTAATATAACGGATGTACAGGGCAATCTCATAAAAAACCTGAAGATCATCCAACTAATATCCTGCATAAAAAGAATGTACAATTTTAAGCATTATTACCTTGTTATTTGCATTTTCAAATTTGTAATGAACCATTTCGAAGCCTGCTGACAAAGAAGTCTAAGCTGCTGTTTGTAAAAATTAAATTCTCTCCAACGATCCGAAATTTCGCAATAGAATCAGTCGAGAAAAATAAACGTTAACTTAGATTCAGGGCGCTTCATAATTTTCATCTCCATTGAAACCAACTTCCTTTTAATAAAATTGTTTACTCTATTATTTATTACTGGTAATTCAAAATGGCGTCCATCAGATTTTCCGTGAATTAGCTGCATAATGGTCGATTTAAGTAATTACCTACGCGTAGTGTAAACCTACAGTACGTGACAAAATGGAAAGCGGTGATTGGTAGAACTGAGTAAAGAGCAAACTTAGACAAAAACATTTATTTGACTCGTAATGATGCTGTCGGAATCGCATCGTTTTACGGTAACGAATGCTCATAGAATATGAGGAAAACAAAAGTAAGCTCTTCGGTGCATGCCATCGGCCACAGTACTGATTTCTGTGATCCATTCCCAGATTTGGCCAGTAACAGAGATCTGTTCTCAATCGCGGCGTAGAAAAATGCTAGTGTTAACAGGTACTAAGAGTTGCCACATACTATCTAAGGTTTCACAAGTTACAAAAGGAGATAGGATCGCTTTAACGTAAACAAACGTTTGCGATCTGTTTCGAGAAGGCGGTCAGATAATTTCACTTTCATGACTGAATCATTATAGGCGGTGAGCAGCTGAATCATAAAATCAATTGATTGAATTTTTTTTGCATTGCTGAAAAATGAAATTTTTTTCGATTTCATTCATTCCTCTGGTAGCACCATCGCGTGTTTCGCACACTCTGCTTGATATACAGAACAGCAATGCTGCAATGTTCCGTTGATCGCAGGACTTTGACTTTATGTTCAGTTTCAAAGGATATATCGGATTTTTCATGGGATCGAAACAGTGATGTGAATTATTTTTTCACATAAATCAACAACTAATAACTTGCGCAACCCTTGGAGTATAACTACATCCTTGGCGTATAAGGATGAGTAACATTCCTCAGCGTAACTGTCATTTCCCAATGATAAATATGATTTGTTTTATTATTCTTTGCGCCATCACATAAATCTCCATAGGCGGTATTAGTTCCTATGACGTACAACGTCATTTTTGGAGTGGAAATTGACCTCTAAAACATAGAAAAAGATTGAAGGCAATTCTAAAAAGTCATCCAAATAACAGGTATAAAAGAAATTTTTGTGATCCAGTTATACTTTTCTTTCCAATATCTTAATACAGCTCATCAGCAGGCAATTGGTTATTTTTTAACAAATTAAAATTAAAGGAATGCAGCGTCAAAATAAATATATGTTAATAATATATATTTACAGTTCGGCAGTTAATCCTATGAGTCAGGAGTGCGCTCTCAAAAAAATGCACAGTGAAGGAATCAAGATTTTAAACTAAAGCGTCCACAAATGATAGTTGTTAGCCACCTACCTTGCACATAAGATCAAACCGAGTCCGACAATGCCAGCATTCCATCAGATACAAACAGTAAACCATGAAAGCAAAGGCCATAGGAATAAATCTGTAGACATCGTTGCAAGGTCCGCTAACTATCCTGAAAATGGTCATATAAGTCGAATACAGATCCATTAAATTAACATATTTCTATTTTAGTGCAAAATTTTGCCACAGAATCATGCAAATTATTTGATTGATTCAGAATGGAAAGAGCTGCCATATATCAGTCTGTCATTTATGCATTTTTGGGCAAAGAAGTCATTCAATGAAAAACACTAACATAGTTTCATGTACTTGTTCCAGCAAAGAAATTAACTACCGCAACATTTAACCTTATGACCCAAACTTTTATTGGCACTTGTCACAGTGTTGAAACAGCGGCTCCTAGAATCGAAAACCTATGTCTACAGCGATAACCTCTTCCTCGATATGGGCCATTTGTGTCTATGATCGAGGTGGATAAGTATTGAATAAGTGAACAAAAAAATTAGATAGGACCAAACTCAAAATCTCTCAATTGTGAAGCTTCCACAGCGGATGAGGCTAGTGCTCCGTTGTGTGGATGTGTGAAAATTGGCCGATCGATCTCGTAAATGAAAATTAAGCTAATCTATAACCAGAGAGTTGCCGGAAGCAATGGGCTAAATATTTTGAGTGCCTGTTCAGTTCAAGGATGGCAGAAAAACTCCTGGCCATGCATAACAGCCATAAACAGTTGTCAATACATACAATCCATGCATTACTGATTAAATAAGCAGGGCATTGAAACATTCACAAGTGAGAAATCATTCGTTTTGCATGGAGTACGAAGGATGGAAATTGAATTCAGGGGCAAAACACTGATCTCTCAAGCTGAGCGATTCTTCCGTCACATGGGAATGGAAAAGAAATTCTATAACAACTTGAAGCCATCACACCGTATCGATCGACCAACTTTGCGATTAAACTTTTGTCTCTAACTATCGTCGAAATAACTTTTCGACATGTATCTAGAAAGGTACTCTTTTCGTCACAAAGTATCTATGGCAAACAATTGAACGAACTGCCTGGAAATCAGGCAAGGTTACTAATGAGAGACAGAAGTTGCTACACCAATTATGTCCTCTTCTGAGCCGAACCATTGTGCAATATCAAAAGTACTCGTTGCCCTCAAATGAATCATCATAACAGTCCGTGCTGCATTCATTCCATTCAAACAACATGCAACATGGCGCGAGGCTTCAGAACCCCATACCTGAGGTTAAAGGCTCTCAACGAATGAATATCCAGCAGAATTTTTGCTGATGTTCAGTTCCTCATTTGTGGACGGCATATTTGTTGTTTCAGCAAAAAGTGGAGGGGCTAAAGCAGTTGTAAGGATTCATGAATTTTAAGAATGGGCCTTCCATTCGAAGATGAATATGAAACATTATAACAAGCGAGTCGATTGATAGGTTCTGTTCCTGAAGGTGATCGAGAGGGGGTGCCCATTGCCAGTGTTTGAGACTTTGCTTTACCAGGAGTTCACGCATTTTTACAGGTGACTACACCATACCTCATGCCCTCTGTGGAAAACACTCGTCCACGATTGTTCGGAGCATGCAACACTGCTTCCGCCATAGGTACTAGGAGTCGATACCTGTACCAAATGCAGGGAGAAGAGATATTCAAGGAAGACACTGGAGCAAGAAGGTTTGCACTCCAGTTTCAACTTAAAGAAGTTAATCGATAAAATTGCCAATAAAGTTGATCGATTATAGTGACAGAATGGAGCACCAATGTTCTGAGGAACTATCGATATCGCTGCTCAATATGTCACAGCAACAGTAATAATGATAGTGGATTCAAACGGCGAATGCACAGTGTAAAGAAAGAAAAATCAGTTTTTGAATTTACACCAGCGCTGATTGCGTAGCCCCTCGCCTCTAGACGCTTAAGGGGCCATTTGAGCAGGTCACGGCTCCATGGTACTTAAGCGCTCCATGGTACTTAAGCGCTTGCAGTGCATAGGACGCAGAACCGCGTCTCGAACAAGATGCACTGCCACGATCCGCAGGAGAAAGAGTGACAGAATGTAACCCCGATGTTCTGGGGGGACTATCTATATCGCAGCTGAATATATCACAATAAAAATAATAATGATACCGGATTCGAATGGCGAATGCATAGAGCAGATCTGTCATTCAGGCTTCCTAAGGTTGTTAAAGCTTTGTTCTATTTACGTATGTTCGTGTTTATCAGTTGATGACCTTTCTCCAAAGTTGTCATTGGTGTCATTTTGCAAACGTTCCGACGTCTAACCGCGAAACAGCGACAACGCTGGCGGCATTTTCCAATCTGGCGGGACACTTTCGCCTCGACATAAGACTCTCATTAAGCACTGTTTTGCCTTTTCTGAGGAACGAACTTGTGGAGCTCAAATTCAGCCCTGCTGCTTGCACATGGCTGCTTATTTTTCTCAGCTATATGGAGGCTGTTCCCTTATCCGCCATCCCGAGACATGCCGGATGGCCTGCAGAGAGGTACTCTCGTGATAATTATTTCTCCAATGGTAATAAATTAGGCTCTAAGGCAATCGTTCCCTTCTTTCCATACACCAGCGACCATTTAAAAAGAACACTGTTTCCTGGTATTTGAAAACTTGTCCGTAGATGCATGTTCAATTACCATATTGATTAAGCGTCATTTTGCTTACCTGCGGCAAAGCGATTTGAGTTGAGACCCCTTATATGCTTTCACAACAACATAAGATAATCGCCGGGAATCTAGTCATATAATCTTAGAACTCCTCAAAATTGGATATCATTGCGTATATCATGAGTAATACTAGTCTGACTGCGCTGAATTTGATGAATGAATTTCTGCATAATTTCTTTGTATCAGCATTTTACAGTTTGGCATAAGTTTATACAAAACAACCTAATCATTTCCGGTTCTATATATATATTTTCACAAGATTATACAGCAGTGGTTGTTAAGATACACTCATGATATTGAAACATTTTCGCAAAGTGATTAGGCCCGAATGAATCTGACACGACTTGGTTTGCTAATTACGTATATGTGATGCAATGGTTTGATCGTCGAAGTATGGTTCTTCTACTTTACCGGTGGAAACAGTTTTTTGCAAAGGTTAGTAGCAAGCAAGAAAAAAATACGTTTTCTTGTTGTCTAACATAAATCTGAAGTTATCGATTGAATTGGCATCGGTCGTGATCAGAAAATGATTCAAAAAAATCAACAAGTCCCAGTAATGACTTAAGCTAACTCAGATAAATTTTCTATTCATATTAAATGAAAATTGATTAATCATCTGTCCGTGCTGGAAGCATGGAATCAAAGGACGCATCGCTTGCGGTCATCTCTCAGGTATAGTATAGAATTCAAGAAGCTGCTTTGTTTAGTTCTGGTAACTTGTTTTTAAGTCTGGTAATACGTTTCATTTATCTACGTTGAGAGGCAGGATTCTTGGTGATCTTGTTTAAAATGTTCAGTACATATGCGTATTATCGTCAGAAAATACCACCAGAACCAGCATGTAAATGCATTAGCTAAAGCAATGAATCTGTAATTCCATTATTCGTCCACGGAGGAGTGAAAAAGTACAAACAGTGAGCAATGATGATTGAAGAAAGATTCAGAACTAATGAATGGGAAAAAACATGTTAGACCTCAAACAGCACGGTTATTGCAGAGACTGGTATAGATTCCTAGCATTTTGCAGATGACTTCAATTGTAGATATCCGCTGCACATCATCGCTGAACACGAAAATAAAACTGCCTTAATTGCAGATATTTATTATTATTCAATCGTGGTAATTGAATCGTATCCTACTACGTGAGAACATGAAAGTAATGCGGAAGATGACTCCAATAAACTGAGGCCGGAATACTGCACGAAACTCGGCAATGATATCTTCCCATGAACAAAACCTCATGAGGCACTCGATTGCTTTGAATCCGCTGAGCTGGATGAAGGTAAGGGAGACGTTGGCGATAGTTCACGAAAGTTGATACCCCGAATTAACTGCAAAAATAATTACTCGCTGTTAAAAATTAAAAATGCTCAAAGTTAATCAGAAACCAAGAAAATATGTGTAGGCCAGCACGTCGATCTGAACAACATCTAGTTCTTGTTAAACCACAGGACGCGATTTGCAAACGGACTCAGGATAAAATAAAGATCTTCTTGACAAGCTATATTGAAATAAGACTATGAACAAATGCCTTTATAGATGTCTACATCAAGGAGGTGAAGAATATTATGGCTGACGTCATTGGAAAATGTCAACGCCGAAGATCTACCGTATATGTTGCGTAATGGAACAATGACGATCCACTGTGCGTCGGCAAGAAGTTCGATGTCTGAGCTCAGGCTCAGACCGGCAGCGTTGGGTTCATATCAAAAAAGGCGTCTGTGCCATTTGAAGTGAGTCGTGATATTAACTCCATTGTTACAAATGGACAAAAGAAAGTCAACACAGATCATCGAAGCTTACAGACCAAACCAAAATGCTATCGATGAAATGATGGAGTAATTCTATGAAGAACTGAGGAGCAAAAATGGAGAAAAAGATTGCATTCACGATTATCTGAGGAAACTTCAAAGCAGTTGTCGAGAAAAGTGCGGACCACACGAGGCAATTATCAGAAAATGTGAAAAGAGACGAAAGAAATGAACGCGGATATTTTTTCGCTAGTTTGAAACCAGCAACGTTAACGTCACGAGTACAGTTTTCAAAAGTCTTCGAAGAGACAGCATATATCGGAGTCCATACAAACTTTCTTTGAACAGAATCAACTATGTACTGATGGATAAAAGCCAAATAATATTGGATGCGTCGATCTTTGAGTTACTATAGATCTCACAAAGGGCGAATCAAAATTATTAAAAGATTGCGGCCTTGTGGAGAACTACAATTGGATCCAGGCCATCGCTTGTCCCGTAGTCAATATGCGCAGCCTAAGCAAAATGACGAAGCACCGTTGGGTCTCGACAGAAACCCGCACTCTTCGCCAAAGAAGAAACGCAGCCGAGCATGAATTCTTAGAGAACCCCAAAGAAACGAAAAAGCGACATTATCGGCATCTCGTGAAAGCAGTCGGCAGGAGTTACCGCAGGGACACCTGACACTTGATGGACCTAAAGGCGCAGAGTCTGGAACAGGCGGTTTCGTAGAAGGACTGGAAAACGCTATACAGACAAGCCAACATCATCTCCAATGATGGTAAACGAAAGCCCCAGACTGTGTCATTCGCAGCCAGTCCAACAAGCCCCTTCCAGATCCACCCAGCAGCAGCAGGAGATGGGTTGAACACTTCGAATGGCTCTTAAACCAACCCATTCGAGTGGATGACCTGGAAGTAGAG